CCACTTTTTCAAAAAATTAACCTAATGTCTAATCAGAGGAATGCGTTTTAGAAAACATTCTATTGTTTGCAATCGATAGAGCTTTTCGAGTTCTGTCTAGCAGTGATTTATACTTTGAAAATTAAATATTTCTTAGCAGAAAAAAAAACATGGCGAAAAAATGCGTGGGAAATAGATGTAATTTACTGGGCCAAATACATTAACCAATAAATATTTTCTCGTTCATTGTTAAAAATTAAAGTTAACATGAGTTTGTAGAGAATTGAATTTTGTGTCTGCTGATGAGAACTTTAGAATCGTGTGTTATTTGCGTATCAGAATATTTGCAAGAGAAAAAGTGTCGCAAAACTTTTGCACCACCCGGTATTCCACTAGACACAGTAATAGTAGAATGATGAAAGAAAGAAGAAATTAAAGACTATTTTATGTAAATTTGTGGTCAAACTTGCAATTTTATTCAATGATGTAATTACAACATTTTGCTCCTTATTCAGTAACTATTTTTATACGTCAATCAGTCATATTCAACACGCTATAAGCAAACCCAAAATTTCATTTCTTTTTCTATGAAAACTAATGGGACATCATAGTTCTAGTTTTCACCAGACCAACTTCGGATCAATACATGTTGAATCCGATAAACTGTCTCTATTGAATGAAAACTAAAGTTCGTGTGTTTCTTTGTGAATAAAAGTTTTTAGACAGCAGTTGTAAATTCTTTTTGGGTCGGCACTAACGTTAATACAGGGTGTGTTTTGATCATAGATGTGTGGAAAATCTATGGTCCAGCACACATAAGGTTAGGAGTTTATACTATAAAATTTTTGTCAGGTGGCACCGAGGTAGAATGAGTAGAGAAAATTCTTGAAGTGTAGATCAGTGAATATAAGTTTTTGACTGGCCTCGGATTGCAAGTTTTTGAAAATGTAGGGATTAGTACAGGATCAAACTTTTTAAGAATACAGGAAAAGGTGTAAAAAATCAGAAAAAAATAGGATATTGAAAATTCGTTGTTTAGATTCGAATAAAAACGTTGTTTTAAACTTTTCCTGCATCAATTTAACATATGCACGAAATTTTTGTCAATATTTCATTTTAATTCTTTCTTAAATTAAATTAAATGAGTTATACAGGGTGTGGGTAATGCGCGAGTATGAAACTTTTCAACAATCGCATTTTGAGTTCTTTTAATCAAGAAATGTTTTCAAAACATATCAATGACAGATCGTTAGTTGTAGAATTCCAGTTTCTACAAGCTGACCTATTTTGTTTTGACTTTCGTAGCTAAGAACAATGTAAATTCTTATACACTTTCTAACTCTATTTACCGTTTATGAGCTTCCATACAGATGTATCAATTTCATTTTTGTGTATAACGATTAGTTACAAAGAAAAGACTATTACTAATAAAGATCAAGTAACTCTGATCATGTTAAGTGCATCAAAATTGGTGAAGAAAAACTGTACCTCAGCGTTACTAAAAAAGTCACGTTGTTTTCTTACACTTTTTATCTAAGCAAAAATAGCTTGGAGAAAACGATTTTAGTGTTTTAAAGCCTGGTCAAAAAGCACTACAAAACGAACTCGAGAAGTGTTTCATTTGGAGAAATAGTTGCAGAGGAAACTGCAGCTTATTAGTGACCCTGAAGAAAAGCGTCTTTTTATGTCACAGTCAAGCAACCAAAACTCCTCTCTATAGCCAAGAGACTTAATCCAAAAATGGTCATTTTATGGCATAAACCATATCATAACAAGTTGCATCCAATCACGTTTGAACCATTTACGTAGCTGCATATGATAGGCAACAATAAAAGCTTTTAAAACACACACACAACTATTTATAAAGACTATTTTACTTTGTTTGAATATCTTTACTTAAAATAATCAGTTATTTTCATTTAGTCTGTTTGATAATGTGAAAATAAATTGTAAATAAAATAGAGTCCCTGTAGAAAAAATTCTAAGAATACAAAAGAATCAATAACTATCGAATAGATTTGTTTAAAAAAGACGAAAACGATACTGAAACAAGAGCGTTTTCTAGCAATTTTCTACTTTTTTTCATTTTTATAGGAAATACAGGAAAATTCATCGAAACATAGAAGAAAAAATAGGATTTTTTTTAAATATAGGAAATATAGGACGAATCCGAGGCGAGAGTTTTTGAAGTAAGTGAAGTGATAATAAAATTTTAATGTATTTGTGAATCTTCTTTTCTACATAAAAGCAACACACAAGAAGTTTTTTCATCGTTGAAATTATGAAAAACAATGAATACACATTATTCTTACAAACATATTCCAACTTAAAAATACTTGTTGAAGTGAATATTCAAAAACAATAGAAAATATGAACACTATAATATTGAATTGATATTATATACCTTCCTTGTATTTCGTAGAAACTTTGCATCTATAATATGTACACTATATATTTACTTCTTTTCATATATTTCTGTCTTTTCCTTGTGGGTGTGGGTGCGAGTGTTAGTCAGTAAAAAATACTCACGCTTATCCCCCCCAAAATGTTGTAACAGTAGTCAAATTTTGTTAAAAAGTATTTTATTCGAAAGTTTCTGAATCGACAGAGGAAATTCCCGTAGCAACTATCTTCAAGACTGATGTTTCAAATAGTGTATATGGCATGAAACTAAATCTTGTTTTCTTACTTTTAACAACTGAAATATTTTATTTATTTGATTATTACTAATCACAATGATCAATAATAAAGAGGGCTTGTAGGCGCACTTATTATCTTGAGGAAAAATAGATTGATATTGCAGAGAATAACACTATAAAAATCTGTTCTCGTTTTACTTTTCAGATATTAGTCATCGTAAAATATTCTCTTTCTAATAACCATGGCTACAGCAGGAGGAGGAGAAGAGGCGATAATACAACGTATATCACGCATGAATGACGTTGTACAAGAGTCACTGGAAATTCTTGCACCGATCGGTGGTTATTCGAAAATGCCCCTTGTTTCACTTGAAGAAGCAGTCGAACCACTTGTTCCTATTCTACCTGATGTTCAAGCTCATGCATATACCGCTATATTGAAATGCAAGAAACCTGCCGATAAATTAACACAAGACGAATCTGCTTCGATTATGCTGTATACCATGGGATGGGATCCTCCTGAAGAATGTCTCTACGTGGCCTTGAATAATACATTACGTGCAATCGATCGACAAAATGCGCTTAGACCTTGGTATTTATACTTGAGACTTTTTCTTAATGCACTATTTCGTCTTCCGTTGCTTGCCGTAACTGCATACAGAGGTGTTAAATTAGACCTCAGCCGTCGCTATATCGAAGGAGAAACAATTGTCTGGTGGGGTTTCTCATCATGCACAACATCTGTCAGTGTGCTAAAATCAGAATTGTTCTTGGGGAAGATCGGTAATAGAACTATGTTTACCTTACACTGCAAATCAGCCAGAGACATTCGTAAGCATTCGTTTTATCCCGTCGAAGATGAAGTACTTCTTATGGCCGCAACGCAATTTAAAGTAATGGGCTCCCTTGATCAAGGTAATCTTCATATAATACAATTGGAAGAAACTACGCCACGACATCCACTCCTACAACCAGTACCTATTATTGGTTCATTATCAACTTATTCCAATCCGCCTAGTGAGTTCGAAAGATAATAAAAATAGAATGTTTATTTCATAGACACGGTACTACCTATATTAAACATTGCTTTAAATTTGTTCGAGCTGTGGTGAAATTAAGAATATATAACTGATGTTTCTTTTTTATTACAGGTGATTCGACAGCGGCTTCTTTTGACATAAGCACAGAAAAATCAAAGACACATTCAAACAAATCTCAAGTAAATCAAACTATTTTCTATTATCTTCTAACGTTAACACTTATGTCATTCTATTTATAGATTGATACACATGGAGCAGCTACCAGTAATACCAAAAAAACAGGAATAAATTCGATCACTGGCCAAGTAAGATCATAGATACTTAAAATAAGAAAAAATATTAATGAAATATCTTATTGTTTCAGATGTTTGATGTAAAAATTAGTGCTTCAATTAATGAAGGTAAGATATTGCTGTTTTATTGTCTTGATTATAGTGTGAACTATATGAATATAATTATTTGCATTTGTTAGATACGATGCACTCATAGAAAAAACTCGCATAGATCATATCATTACTTTTTAAGAGAATCTGCTTCTGCTCTCTGATATTTAGCAAATCTAACATAACTTTTTACTCTATTTGAAATAAATGATTCGACTGAAGAGATTAAAGATGTATTGAATTGATATACACATAGAAAAACTTTTATTATCGGTATTTAAGTCTTTGGATCTCGTTTTCTGAGAAATTCTACGAATTCTCACAGAACAATTAATTCTTGATTGGATGTATAACTAGCTTTTTCAACTCTTTTTACAGTAGACAAAGACTTCATTTAGAAGGGTGTGGGTGTGGGTGTACTTTTTTTCTTGATTAGAGAAATGCTCATTTATCTGATTTTATTCATATTGATGACTGAGAAATCGAGATCTACTTAAAAGAAATAGGTATTACTGATTCGTGCCATCTTATCATAGTACCAATTTGTCTATGGATAGTTTCAAAGCATGATATGATATGACATGAAGAAAGAGACTATACGATGACGTCGATGAAAATTATATGAGATATATTTTTGTATAGTTAAGGAGCATAATATATTGTTCTTTCGAAAAAAATATACTAAACGACATATAACCAGATTATTTTTTGGTCCAATGCAAATAAATAAATATTAATCTTAACTCGTTATTTAGTCATATTCCGTTCGTAAAACTCTTTTAGAACATCTTTTAGTGCAAAATTCTTAATCGATTCTTGTCAGTTAATATTATCTTTATTTTGCCAATATGTGCTTTTTCTTTCACAGAAGAAGATATTATATTTATGTAAATTTTATTAGATCGGAAACTTTATAATATCTGCACTTATCAAATTTCAACGAATTTAAAGAAAAGAAAGCCAAACAAATTAAAGTATCGAAAAAAATACTATGTTCATATTTCAATATAAACACAATCAATATTTTGATTCTGAGCTATCTTCAGTGATATTTAAATAATTATTCTCGATTCATTTTGTTTTTCGAAAAATAAAACAATTTCTTTGTAAAGATCTTATCATTTTAATAAGAAAATATCCGGTATAGGATTTACTATTTAAACTTTGTATT